ATGTGACCCTAGCGCAAAAGTTGTTCAGTTTATTTTTCTGCATAACATAGTTTTTTTTTGTTTTTTTTTTTTTTTTTGGACTAGGACCTTCCCTGGTACTTGCACGGGCTGGTCACCCAAGGCCCGGGCGGCCCTGCTGGTAGCCTAGGTTTTTTTTTTTTTAAATAAATTAAGGACTTTAAAAAAAAAAACTTTTTTTTAAAAAGAAAGAACTTAATACCTAGGCTACCAGCCGGGCCGCCCAGGTCCCGGGTGGCCAGCCCGTGCAAGGACCGGGGAAGGTCCCAACAACAAAAAAAACAAAAACAAATCCGAAAAAATAACTAAGTTATGCAGAAAAATAAACTGAACAACTTTTGCCTCAGGGTCACATCGAAATTCTTCACCAAATTTGAAATAAAAAATAAAATTTAAAAATATTATTTTATTTTTATTTTTTTTGGCAAGGCCGGGCAAGTGACCCCGGGCCACTCTGGTAGCCTAGCTTAATACGTGAATCTTTTATTTTTTTATTTTTTTATTTTTTTATATTTTGTGAAATCAATAAAATGCGTTTGCAAGAGCATTCATAGTAGCTGTATCTTTGTGGGGTCTTTTTTTTTTTTAAACATGGGTGTTTTCAGAGGGGTGTGCGTGGGGCGTATCATTTGTCCTTACGTGCCTTTGGTACGTGGAATTTTCATTGCAAAGAGAGGTTGTCTGGATGTGGACATTTAGCGTAGCAGAGTATAAAAAGGCGTAGGTACCGGAAGCGAGGCGTATTGTGACTGATTATCATTGTGGCATAGTAGGCGAGTGTTCATAAGCGAACAAATGCGACTGCGTGATCCATATTTTTGAGGGCGGGGTTGGTTCGAAGTGGAAAGGAAGAGTGTGTGGTTGCTGTCGTGGGGCGGAGAACGAAAGCAGACGGGGAGAGGGATACGAATCTGGTAAGCTATAGAGGTGGGTGGTGGGTTTGCGGTTCGGATGAGCATTGGGTGTAGTTCCGTTTATAGGGCGCGAAGGGGGCGAGGATCGTGAAGAAGGGGCGGAGAGCGTGCGGGGATCGGAGGTATTTTTGGGATAGTAAGCTTAGCATCCGGAGATCGGTTGTATGTGTGACGGACGAAGGTCGTGCATGCACGTGGCTAGAAGTGGATGAGTGGGACTAGTGTTTTTTGTGAACAATGGCAACAGTGGTAGTTTGTCGCGATCAGGTGGCGGGGCGTACTATTGTGGTGTACGGGATGTCAAAGCATAGTGATTATCGTCCGAATCGTGATTTTGGCTTCGTGGCGTTCATCAACCGTCATGGTTATCGTCAGTATGAGGTAGATGCAAATGGGGTGTTGGTACTACGCTTAAAGTTGGGTATGGGCTATGTAGGTGATGATTTACGGGATGCAACAGTTTTTGTGACGAAGTTACATAACGATGTACCTGACAGTTATCGTGGTAGGGGGGAAGATATTATCGAGGGAATTATTCGTTTTCTTTTATCAGTCATAGCTTCAGAGCTTGATGGTCGTATGACAGGGATTGCAGAATGGGAAGCAATTCTAGATGCTCCTTTGGTCGGACGTCCCTATCTCCATGGGGAATTGCGAGTGGATATGTAGTTAGTCAAGATTTACGGGGCCACCTTTAGTTGTGTGAGATTTTAGCCGACACATCATTTTTTTCGGGGGGGCATTTGGCGGGATGTGCGGTTTCAGTTACCTGCCTGTACAAAGTGGACCCGAGGAGTGTGCCGGTGCATTGGGAAGTTGTGGGCCATCTATGTTTGTTGAAAAGGCCATGGGAAACTTTTGTTTGTATTACGGTTTTATTTTTTTCAAAATTGTGTGTGTTTTTTTTTTTTTTTTTTTTGAATTAGCCTTTTTTAAAGTTTTTTATTAAAAAAACTTTTTAATTTATTTTAATTTTATTTTTTATTTTTTATTTTTATTATTTTGGAATAACTAAAAAAACTATATTATGTGTTGTTTTAATTTTTATTTATTTATATTGTTTATTATTTAAACTTAACATAATGGGTTAATTTTGTTTTCTTAGTTTGGTGAGTCAAGGATTAATTGAGCTACGTATGTGCGTATGAAATTGGGATGATATTTGTATCCGTTGGGCTCATCGGTTTCTGATGGGTGGTCAGTAAATGAGTTGTGTGGTGTGTTATGTGGTGTCTAAATTCTGGGCGTACTCTATCTTCAAGTAGTATCTATATCCATGTTTATGAAAGTTGGGACGGGGGATCAATTAAACAGGTTTCTTAGCGGGGAGCATATATAGCTAAGGGCGTGTCGGGATCCCGCCACTGTTCCATCATTTTTTTTGTTATTAATTTATGTGAATGTACTTTAATATTATTTGCCTGTTTCGCAAGGCCAATCCTCAGGGAGGACTTGCTAGGCAGGTGGATCAACCATGTCATACGACAATGCCGAGATGTTGGCAAATCGTTGTTTTCAGTAGGCAAAAAAACAAACATAGTAATTCCAATCATGTGTAATTTTTGGGGGGGTTTCATTAGGGTTTCATAGTATTTTATGAGTGTAGTTTATTGGAGTCTGTGCTACCGGTACTTGATACGTTCCAATTCTGGGTCGCAGTAGTAAAGTTGGTCATCCGTTGGAAAGAGTTTTTAACAGGTATGTCAATAATCGAGTGGTGTTTTTTTTGCCCACACTCTTGGTCAAGCGGCATGTGAGTTCCTACGTATCGATGGTACAAAGACTTTTTATTTTTTATTTTAATTTTTTAATTTTATTAAAAGTTAGGCTACCAGCCGGGCCACCCGGGTCCCAGGTGGCCAGGCCGTGCAAGGACCAGAGAAGGTCCAAAAAAAAAAAAAAAAAAAAAAAATCCGAGAAAAAAACGATGTTATGCAAAAAATAAAGTGAACAACGTTTGCCTCAGGGTCACATCTACATTCTTCACCAAATTTAGAATAAAAAATAAAATATCAATTTTTTTTTTTTTTTTTTTTTTTTTTTTTTTTTGGGYCCGGCTGGGCAAGKGMCCCCGAGCCACTCTGGTAGCCTAGCTTAAAATATATTTTTTTAAATACATATATTTATTTCTAATTTATATTTTGGGTGCTGCATAACAGGTTTTCAGTTATCTCTTGTTTGAATAGGTCAGTTATGGGTTAATCTTCGACCTTTATCTTCAGAAATTTCCGTAAATTTTTACAGTTTTTTTAGGCGAGTTATCATATCTGACCAACGTTCTCATGCGTAACTCGTCAGTAGTAGTAATTCTGATGGGTCTGGTGCACACTTTTTCAGTTTTTCTTTGAGAGCCGATATTTCGCGTGCATTTGTGGCTTAGGTCTAGTTTTGAAGGTACGATCCACCGATTTTAGGGATGTGACCCTTTTTTTTAACCACCGTTTTGCCACGTTGCGAGTTCTCATTTGAACGGTTACGAGCGCCATATTGTATATACAAAGAAGGGTATACGTATTTTCCTAATATTGTGATGTGGATCTCTATCATGAATTATTTGCATGGATCCAGACCTAAGCATGTATAATTAATAAGAAAGAATGAGAGTTCAAAGACACGGAAGGGTACCCACAGTGTGTCGTTCACATATCGCAACATCCTTCAGTGATTATATTAGTCAAAGGAAGTGTTGTAGATGCACAACCATATTCTTACTGCCAGGTCAAGGGAATTAAGCATATATATCAATCATTTATATGTGTGTGTTTTTTGCATCTGCTTCTCATATCAGGCTAAATTAAAGTCGCTGCCATGTTTCATGGCTGATGTTCTTGCCTACTTACTCAAAAAAACGAAAAAATAAAAAAGCAAAGAACACAAAAACAACAAGATGAAAATGCCAAAAAAATAGTACTAATAATACAAGATGAGTGAGGAAACAACTTGGCAACCAAGAAAATAAACAAGGTAAATTGAACAAAGAAAAGGAACGGAACCACACACCGCGCACTAGGTATTTAGAAAAAAAGCATAGCAAGCTATGGGTGTATTATCAGGGAAAGTATATAGAGAGCAACGCCTCGTGATGTTGGTTATGAGTCAATTAGTTATGCAAAGGTGTATCTCTTTAACATATCAAATTATCATAGGCGAACAAGGGTAATAGGTACCTAGCCATTATACAACACTGTTGGGCATAGTAATGCATAAGTAGTTTCATATGACAGATCATTTGATTTGTCATCCTCGAGATATTTCATACCGGGAACAGCTTGTGGTTCTGTTAGTAGTTGTATACGGTCGTGTGGAAGATTTGTGGACCGGGCTATTTTAGGCCACTACCGTAGTACTAAATTACGGACACACATTGATAAAATTTCATAGATGTATCGGATGTTATATTAAGTTTTCGTATTTGGCAAAGCTCAAGAGTCAACCATATTTTGGCGATAAGATAAACTTAATACATGAAAACACCGGTACTTTATGGTATATCTATCTCTCAGGATTTATGCTTAACTATTGTCTGTGAAAAGGATATTGGCAATAACGTCTAAAATCATTTTGCGCATAATACGGTGCATGTGCTTCGCGTAGCTTAGGCAAAGGCTTGCCGTGGAATGCCACACTTGTTTGTCCGTAGTTGCTTTTTTTTGTAACTGCGTGGTGATCTGGCTAATGATCGTGGTTTTCATGTAAGTATTTTTTTTGTGGTGTTTATAAGCCGGATATAGTAACATAATGGTTTATTTGAGTAGTTTTTCGTCCAACTAGTATCCCTGCTACTATTCTGTGAAAAACATTTTTTTGAAAATAAAGAACGTGTTCTAATAAAACAGTCGCGCTTCTCATATATTTCTAGACATTAAAGAAGCGTATACTTTCATCGAGGCTTTATTAATATGAGACGCCAAACTAGTGATAGAACGAAATTTTCCATGCCGATTATGAACAGTGTATGTGCGTGTTAGTAAAAACATTGTGGTAGCATATGCCAAAAAAGTGCATATTGACAGATAATGACAGCATAACAATCAGTATGGTCCGTATTTTTGTATTGGTGATGCGTACGAGAATACTTCTATACTGTTGAGGGGGCCATAGGTTATTATCTTTATATCTAGCGTAGGGGTCTGTAGGTACGTAAGGTGAGAAGATAACCATGCGGTCTCGTATTATCTGTGTAAAAAAAAATAAAAAATTATATATATATATATATATATATATATATATATAGCATGTACCAGAGGACTATCCTAGCATTGATCCATGCATGTTGTATACATCCTAGCTGGTGTAGTGCCCGAGAGCACGTATTTCTCCGTACGTTAATATCATCATGCCGGATTATTTTTTGCTAATACTATTATCAAAACATTATCAATTGCAGTTACCTAGCATTACAAATGCTCCACACAGGTCTTCTAGAATAGGTAAGGTCAATTGTTACAAAATGATTTCTAGACATTTTTTAAGTTGAAGCCGATCATTCTGCACAAAAGTTAGTGCGTGAGGGGAGGTAAATGACGACGTTGACGTGGTCTAGCGAGCTGGGGATTCGACCCCATGCTTGGTAACTGGATCCATGATCCGTGAGTGTGTGTAGGGGGTTTGCGTAAAACACGACCATCCCATTCAGAATGGGACACTAGACATTGTCGTTACGTCCAATGTTAGGCAGGGGGATAGGAGTAGTTAGGTATAGGATACATCAAGGCATAGATTAGATAAGGAGCAAGTTAGCAACATTAAAGTTAGTAGGTTAGTTGTCGTTAGGAATGGGTATGAGAACCCAGCCGTAGGGGGGGTGTACGCCCTAAAGCGCGCTTTTAGCCGCCTAGCACCCATAGCAGCTCATCAAAGGGATTAGCTTAGTTCCGACTCCTATTAGCATAGGGGGTGGGGGGAGGGTGTAGGGTAATGCCACATGGGTTTTTTAGGGGGGAGTTCATTAGGTGTCCATACCTGAGAGGTCATGGTTGGTGTCGCTGGTGAGTCAGTCGCCGCCATAGCTCGTAGCGAGGTCATGCAGCGTGGAGTCAGGTAGCTTGCCCACAAGCTCGGCGGACAGGGCACTGTACGCGTGCCATACCAACCTCAGGCACAAGATCAGTTGTAAGGTTGCATACCCGTGAAAAAGATAGAGGAAGAGGAGGGGCGCAGCGAGAGAACTTAGCATCTGGACCTGCGCGAGCGTAGTGCTGCGTATGCTTTGCCAGTAGCGGTAGTCGTACCTGTCTCTGTGGGCAGCTGTTGTATGGGGCAAGCTAGCCAAGTATATATTCTATAATGCATCGTATAGTGGACGTAAGTTCTTGGTATTGCGGAGATGGAGTAGGATGGGGGAAGCGAGAGTGGCTTCATTTTGGTGGGGTAGGGGTCGGCTCTTTTGTGGGCGGGGGGAGAAAAAATCGGATGCATACGTGGAGTTGTTCTATGTGGAGCGGGGGAGATTGGGTATGGTTGTACTATACGTATAATCCCTGCTTCAGTCATGGGTGCGTGCGCGTTTGTTCGAGCTGAGGAGGGGGTGCAGGAGTACTGCCAGGGGTGAGGCTTGTGTTCACGCTACCGTAGCTTTGTCGAGTTGCTGGATTTGCTTTCGCTTTTGTCTTTTACTGTGCGTTAGTGTATGCAGCGGTGCGGGTTCAATCGTCGTTTTGGGCGATGGTCTGGCTATGGTGGAGGACGGTAGTGTCGTGGCTTGTTTATCCTATTTGCATGTCCGTTTGTCTTGCGGTGTGTCAGGTGTGTCGTTTCGATGTGGTG